TTTTGCACATTTTCCAATATCGCACGTGCCTTCCCTCTCAAACACGACACAAGCACGGCAGTCTTTGTCTCATCTCCCCAACGATTCGCACGAGAAATCAAATCGAATTGCGCGAAAAACTTGCGCAAGGGAGCACTCCCGTCAAACGTGTCCGGCTTTATTTTCACACCCGTCACTCCGCGGAGAGAATACGCATTCGAATCGGCTCGATCGCCCGAGCCCGCGGCAACTTCAACGTTGATTAAGCGATTGCCGATATTCGCGACATTTTCGTTACGATCTCGCGCATTATTTTCGGTATTATTGAGAGGACTTAGCTGGTTTATTGGAGTAGTTTCTCGTAGTCGTTCACGCAAAAGTCGTAATTCCTCGTCGCGCTGCGTGATCATTGCCTCCAAGGCGGTACGCTGTCGCTGCTGTTCGGCGCGAAGAGTCGCTTCGAACGCGGCCTGTTGTTGCTGTCGCAGCGCGCGCTCCTCCCGTATCTCACGTAATTCCTCCAGCGTAGAGCGGAGGAGAAAAGAGACTCCGCCAGAGTCGGTGTCTCTTCGCCTCCCGTCGTTCGCTCGCATGCCCTCTTTCTCGTCGTCGCCATCACTTCACAACACTGTTCACTGATCGTTCTTTACGATCCGCTCGTCCGTTCGATCCCGGACGAGCCCCCAAAATGTTACGCCCGGGGCGGTGAATCTCGCGATTACGCACTCGCTCGCGTAACGTACGCGCTTCCGCACTCGCGTTCGCGCACGCGCACCGGAAGGCCGCGGAGAAATAAGAAGGAACACCAATTAAGAACACAAGGAACACGCTTTATTCTAATGACTGTGAACAAACAACGCAGCGAATAGACAGAACAGAGCTCAGCACGTCCGAACGAGTCGACGGCTCGTCTCCAAATCTGATATGTCGTCCGTTTGACAGACGACAACGCGTCGTCAGGGAAACATCTGACAGCTGGACCGGCTCGCTGGTACATCGAACGACGCGGGCGAAGACACGGGCGTAACACTGCCCTCCCTCTTCTAGATTGTCGTCCCGACAATCAGGGCTCTCATATAAAGGACCTCAGGATTTTCTGATGGTTTTCTGCTTTACCCTGTGCTGCTGCAGCAGGTTACCGAGCACCATCTCTTCTTAATGATAAACCCAATCCTTTAATTCTTCTTCGAACTTCCGAGCAGGACCCTTTTTGTCTCTTTCCCGAAAGGTGATCAATCCTCCAGGCTTTAGACTTCAGGCATCCTCTCCTTCCTGGAAGCCGATTCTCTCGCCCTCCTGTGTCTTGATCTTGCGTCTCGACTCTTCAGACAAGGGAGGAAATTACTCTGTGATACCCA